GTTGTCGGTCCGCTTCACTGCACGCGTCAGACGTTCAAGAGGTCTGATATAGCATCTCTATGAAAAGGTAGACGGATGAATAATTTCTTTTTTGAGCCTCATGAAGTTTTCGGATTATGGTCTTTTTCTGAAAGTTTCTCTCGATGAACCGTTCCGGTCAACCGGTTTCTCTGAGAACATCCTTAATTTTTGTTTGTTCTTCATTTAACACATTTTCAGAGCAGATCTTGTGCGCTAGTCCCACTCACACAGAAACAAATCTGATTCAGAATCTCACATCATGCATATATACCCTACAATACTGGTCAATTACGGCAAGCTTAGATACATGAGGAAGTCTGGCGACAGTGACTAGTGAGCGCTAACCCATGTCATATTAGAGTGGAGCGAACTGCCAAGAGTGAATTTGGATCACTTAGAGGACTCATGTAACTAGGAAATAAAAGGGTAAGCTTCGGCCTATTGCTTCATCTTCAATATTACTTAAGAATTTTGAGTGAACTATTATTCAACATCTATCCTCTAATCTTGATTTTTGTGATTCCAATCAGTTTGCTTATGGTAGGCGTCGCTCTATTTCAGATGCGCTTGTTTGTCTTTTACAGTATGTTTTATCCACTATAGATCAAGAACATAAAATTGTTCATGTATTTTTGGACTACACAAACGCGTTAAACTATACTGAAAGAAACACCCTATTTACATTGTTACAGCAACATAATCTCCCGCCACATGTTTTGAATTGGATAGGCGAACAGGCGAAATGGAATAGATGACTATTTTACCGACCGACGCCAATTCACTTGTCTCAATGGTACTAGGTCTTCTACTGTTATTGTAAACCAGGGTGTAATGCAGGGTGCGATTTTATCCCCTTTTCTGTTATCCTTTTACATTCAAAATTTGCCAGTCACTTCAACTGTTTTCGTATTAAAATATGACGATGACATGGTAGTTGGTGGTGCATTTAACAACAACAACAACAACCCTTTAATCAGTCTTATGTTCTATTTCTGAATGGTCCGATGGTGCCAACCTTTCTTTAAACCCGAAAAAATGCATTGAAGTTCTGTTTTCCATTAGCCGTAGGCCATCAACACTTTCCGGATCATCTGTTCCCAAAATCTTAATCAATAACTTAAAAGTTGAAAGGTCACAACACTTAAAATATCTAGGATGTTTTCTGTCTGCTAACCTCAAATGGTCATATCACGCAGAACAAACATTTCTTTTATATTTCACGCCTTTCGAAATCCGAGGATGCCATTGCACATCAATTCTAAATTTATTTTCTCGTGCGTTTTACGCCATTGAACCTACTGCTCTCCCGTTACCTCCCCCGATCTACTGTCTAAGGATTTCATATTGATCAGACGTTCTCTGAAAAGCATCTCAAGGTATGGAATTGTATCTTATGAGGCGCTTGTTGACTCCATTATCAACCAACACCTTAAGGCGTGTGACCGTCTGTGTGATTCTATCTTGTCTGACGCACCATATCCGTCAAACTCAACCCTCTCTCGCTCGACCTTAACTTCTGCTACCCGCAATACATTTAAACCTTTATAAACTCATACCACAGGTTTTCACAATTCCGTGTTACTTTATCTTACAAGCTTGTTGGTTTCCAGGGAAAGAATGTCAAGTGAACCAATACACGGTCTCATGTAAATTTTCACGCTAACATTTTCTACTATTGCTACGCGTTTCCGGTTCCTCCTAATTATCGTCTATGTACTATTTATCATATCTTCGAACTCATTTTAATAGCATGTATACCAAAGCAAAAGTGATAAGATTTTCTTCACTGAAAATTCTGTCCATATTGGATGAATAAAGTGCACTCTTGACTTGACTTGTGTCCACTTCTAAAGAATTATTGTAGGAACTTGAAACCCGTTGAATTCGGTGCGCTACATTTGTGAGCTGAGTCGTCTGACCAATGCGCGTTTTACTTAAATGTTTCACTCTAAGATCAATTGCTAAATTCAAAGGAGTTCGGAAAACCAAATGACACATGAACTTTTCATGGTTCCAAACTGAAATTGAGATAAAGGACCGTGCTACACATGATTGAGCTGGCATTGGAAACGAGGAATGAGGTAGAATTAAGAATATGATGCACACCGGAGGCGGAATCAATCCACACAAAAAACGAGAATGGTCACATGGAAATGTCACGCTGATAACAAATCGGGACCCCGAGTATAAGGTCGAACACATACCCGTTCTTCTGCGTAGAAAGGATGCGACCAACGTGAGTCCATGGGGAGTCGAGAACGGAAGAGGACCTGATAGAAATCCACTTCCGCTGGGAACCAGGAAATCTGTGCGGCCAAATTGTCCCCGACAACTGTGGCATTTGGACGTTGCAGACGTACAGCTTACATGGAAGGGCAAACCAAGAATATACATATAGTAAATAAAAACAAAAGAGTAAAGTGGGTAGAATAACCTTCTAGGGAGAAATATTCATTATTCGTCGAGTGGTATATTGCCTTTAGCAAACAATCACGAGTTCCCACGAAGCGTTACACTCCAAAGTTTCATATAACAATCATTTTGGTCGTTATATCAGAGAGGTAATGTGCCAGCAATTCCATCGTTCAGTTCCGTATTTGTTTAGGGGAAATTACCTTTCTAGTGTTGTGAGATGCTACTCACACTTGTGAGTAGTTCGCAAAAAATGCGATTGGCAGTTTATTACAAAAATAAACACTACTTAGAGCGAATTGTTGTCCTCCAAAGAATAACTACGGACTGTTCCATTCATCACTCTGTGTGCTGCCCGGAATTGTGACGTTGCAAAAGAGATATCTTTATATATGTATGTCAAATTATCGATATCTTAACTGTAATTTGCAATAAACGACTTTTCTCGGGCACCGCCTTCGGGAACTACGAGCCTAGTAGATCAAGAAACTTATTTTCACCGATAAGATGAATCCGTTTTCATCAGGGGAAGATCAAGGTATTCAAGAGTTATCTGCATAAGAGGAACGAGGACGTAAAGCTAAACGATGGTCAAGCATTCAATATCGGAGACGGCTTAGAACGATCGCTCAGATTGGGGGGAGGGAGAATTGTGTCAAATTGCAGACGACTAGCTTCACTAATGCCCACCAGATTCCAGCAATGCCTCGGAGACATCGGCGATCAAGTATAAAAATTCATTTGAACACGGTCGATGCACAGTAAAACTTGTCTTAGGGGGCAAAGTACAATTGGCAAACGGTAGAAGCGGTTGACCCCATAACGCTAAAAGTTTACTATGACGAGCATCGGGAAATGCAAGGTGATCATACACGAGTTTGCAAAAATAGTGGTGAAATTTAGTCGAACAATAGTTGCGCTGACCAGTGTCACGGTGAAGTGAAATTGGTGGGGTTCGAGCCGGAAGAAAATCGACCATGTGGAAAAAACTAAGAATATCTCGACCGAACAACACCACACAGTTTACGAAACTTAAATAATTTTCACAGATATCGCATCAAACGTCAAGTGAGTTTAAAGGACACGATCGCATGAATAAGACGGACCAAGTGGATAACAGAAAAAAGGGTAGTAAATTGTGCGCTTATACATACCTCTCCAAAACATTCAATCTCCCTATGCACAGATGAACTCAAAAATTTGGATGGATAGAGATGATTCCGGAAAAAACGAAAAAAATCCATATAAAGAGTACTGTGCACAACTCACTTGGATTGGTGAGTGAGGATGAATGTGGTGCGAGACCAAGTGGGGCATGGTTCACAGGTATGCTGGCCTGATCTGCATAGGCGAGCACCGCATCATGCGATCCGGCGCGTGTCATTGTGCCGAATGATGATGATGATGACTGGGCTCGATTGGTGAGCAACACGTTTCGTTTATCACGATCAGCCAGATCGGATAGGTCCGTCCCATTAGACCTGAGCGATTCGAAAGAGTCAGGTGACGCGTGGATCTTAGGCGAGATCTGAACACGGTTGGGATCCGGTTGCTTGGTTTCAAGTTGGCGGGAGGCTGGAGGTTCAAAAAAGTAGATTCGTAATACCTTAAGCACTTGAAGATGGTGAATCGAGTGAGAGAATCTCGATGTACAGACCATGCGCGCAGAATTAGGTTGCTGGTGAGTGCGACACTAGCGAAGAGAGTAGTTGATCGTAACCAAATTCAACTTGCGTCACTTGTCACGTGATGTACGTCTGTAAGTACCAAATGCTTCACGCATAAATCAGTGCCACAAAAAATGGATCGTTAAGTGAAATTAAAGAATCACTTACGACCCCTCTGACACCACATAGTTAGTTTGATCCATTGGCTAGGCATCACCAGTAGGCACAGTAATGCCGATGACATTCAGTTTATACAGAACATAACCAGACGTTTTCTTGCAGTAGTTTTTGAGTGATGCTTGAATGAAGGAGTCGCAACAAACAAATCCAAATCGAGTTAGCTGTCCACTACATATTCGCGCACCAAAGTATCCAAATGGAGGTAGTGATAAACTATGAAACTACTAAGAACAATAATAAAAATTATAATGATAACAATGAAAGGATTCATTATCTGTAGTCCAGTGACTTAAGCGGACGAAACCAAAATGTTGTTCTCATGCGGTTAGACAATCAATGTTAGTTGGTCTGACAATCCGTCGAATATTCATTACTCGGCTGATAGGATATCGATTTAGTGATAAAGTAGGCACCTAAGCACAATGTACTCAGGGTTCGTGTCTTCACAGATCTCATGAACATTCAGCGCGACTCGACCGAACAGGCATGTTCAGCGGATAATCCTGACTCATTCATGTTCAATCTCAAATTCTAAACAAACAGCTGATCACATGAACAGACCGGTATCAAGGGATACGATTGAGACAAAAAAGTACAATACGGAATTCAGTACATTGAAGAGAACACCTTGTGTTTTGATAAACCACCTCTGCTTAATTAGCACAGGTTACTATTTTGTTGTCAGAACAGATGCCGTATTGTCAGGTGCCAGAGAGAGAGAGAGAGAGATGTCAATAATGCAGCGCCAGTGGAAACAGGTTGACTGACAACAAGCTATATACACCTCATTAATATTATTTCAGTACCAAACCTAAGGACGAGGAATATCGGGGGGGGGGGAGAGAGAATTGTGAACACAGTGAGTGAAACCATGTGACCAACACGAGGTGCAGCAACACAATGAGCGTTTGATGGCAAAAAAAAGAAACGAAGCACGCGTTCCTCAGTCGGTACATAAAAAACATTACCTTCGTCGGTTATTGACAGGCGCTGTACGCGGGTTTCGTGTGAGAATAGCACATGCCTGTCCACAGCTAACACTTCGCACCGATAAGACCCGAAATCCACCGAGCGTGTCACGGTTAAATTCAACTGGAACGGTGAAATCAATCCTTCGGATGGGGTGGGCAATTTCAATTGCACATCATCTTTACGCCACTGGACGAGAACAAGGCCTAGTTGATGTGCCAGCTGAAGTCGTTGAGCCACCGGACCCTGACCGGGTAGGATGTTGGCGAGCCATTGGGCCAGTTCACTGAGATGCGGTTCAAGAGGTAGACAACTCAGTGTGATCGACTGACTGGGCAGTGCACGGGACACGATTGTGTACCATCGCTTCGGCTGTCCCGTGTGTTGCATGAGGCGATTGTAATCCACTGATTGCGAACAACAGAGAGAAAAAACAAGGAATTGTCAGGGGAACAGCTCACACGCACAGAGACTGATACAGGATTCATAAACTGGCAATTTGAATAAAATTGTTTGGAGCAACTTCGATCAATCTCATACTCTAGCGGTACGTTGTCTGTTCGGACAATCTGCGATTTTACGAACATGTGATAGTTCAGTCGACTGGTTTTGAATGATACGATTTGAGAAGAAAAAATGATTTGAAATTATTCGGCGGTCGGGTCGAGTTTCCGCGACAATGCGCATTAGCGCGGAAACCATTGCACAAATAACTGGATTTCTTCGGGGTCAAGAGAACAAACAAACAAACCTAAACAATGACGGTACCATCAATTGGAACTGTGGGTCGTCAGGTCGGTGGAGAAAATAGAACGCATTAGAATAACCTACAATCCAATGCAAAGTACAAACACGCCGAATGTACCGCCTTTTTCTAACGCTATAGATTTTCTTATTCGATAGCTCAGAGTGATTTGAAAACAATTTTTTGACAAACACTGTGAATAGTAGGTGCAAAGGAGCCAGTCGTGTTCGGGCCTGATGCAGTTTAGAGGTACTGGTTCCGCATTGTTTGTGTCACGCCAGTCATGGTGATGATACCGTATCTGGTGAACACTAGGCCTTCTTTCTATTGCGGCTTCCACCACGATCATCAAAATTGATGAATGAAGTGTACCGGTTCTTCTATATTCATATGTTTTTCATCTATTAAACCGATTGCCATTTATATACAATGGCTGAACAGTTGAGATCTGCAAAGGATCAAAGTTCGACTTGGATAGCATGCAGCTTCAGCATGTCCCCGATCAACACATTGCGTATTCAGAAATGTCTTCAGAGAGCTCGCGAACCTAGAACTGGAATTCGAAGCCCTTATCAAACGGAACCAATCAATCCAACTTCGTATGCAAAGAAACGCGTTTGTTTTAAATCAAAAGTAATGTACAGCGTTTGAAAAAAATTTTACATTTCTCACAATGCAGTTATCTGGTCTGATTCAAAAATGAGACAATAAGAACTATGTGGTTCATCGTTTCATTCATGAGGTATAACTGATGGTATCTAACACCGGACAGAATACAAAACAACCGTCGATTGAAGGCATGTTCAGTGATGAAATCGGTGATTGAATAGACCCATGCGAGTTTCCCCACCCCCACCTCAGTGATTGGCCCAATCGGACCTGATCTAGTGTTCACCACTGTAGACATAACTACCCCATCCCACCCCACCCCACATACACACACGAGCGCTCGGTGCCTTAGGATTACCACGTCATGCACGGTCAGTATGCGTTAATTACCAGGAAAATGAAGAAAAGCATACGAAAAGAACGTCCACAGATCAGTTTGGTTACAAACAAACTCACAAGAAACAACGTGACCATGAAGAAGTGAGATTACCAGAGAACCTGATCGACTGTAAAAACCCGAAGACGGTCCCAAAACTGAGACAGGTGTGTAGACGAGTGGGTAGGTAACCAGTCCCACGAGAGGGGCAGGAAAAAGTTTGATGCAAGGTTTAAAGATATATGTGCGTGGATGAATTAAAAATGTATGGACACGAAACAATAGCAACAGGCGGCTACAAACTGGAAGGATGATGATCTCGTTTTCTCCCACTCTTTCCCTCGCTCTGTGTCACCGCAACCGAAACCTAAGTCACAACATTTGACGAAATGAGAGCACGAAGTACACCACAAATGCAAACTGAACGGGAACACGAGGGGGGCGATCAATTTCTGATTCCAGTCGTGGTTAGAAGAGAACCCACAAACAGGACTCGTTCATTACAAACACTACTTGGTTTGATGCATGATTGAAACGGTCAATGTGTACCAAACGGACCTTTCAGTGAAGCAGGCTGTGGCCGATCGACACACACAGAGGATCAATGGGCTCATTGTTTACCCGAGCAGCGAAGAAAACGCTGACATTAAAAATCGAGTGACGGAACGCATGAACACCGGAACAAAAACTCTACAATTATGAACTAAAAAACAACGGAAAAACAAATATCAAAAACATCATTTTCATCGAAAGAAAAGAACTATTTCATAGAGATTTTTCTTTTTGATTCGTACTTCCTTTTATTGAATATACAAAGATACAATTTTCATCAAAAAGAAGCAGCCAATCAAAGGGATCCCATATAACACAGCCTTCTCTCGTAACAGACAGATCTTTACACCACGTAGGATAGCCGGCCGGATAGTTAAATTACATATTCAACCCTTGATGGACAGTCAAATGTCTCAAGTAGAAAGAAGCCAAGCAAAACTAATGTAGCGGTGTAGTCGAGTGTGATGTAGCTGTATAAGCAGTTAAATATGTCCACTTTAGCTATTGGTATTCTGTTAGAATGAAGTTTGGAGCTAGACTTACCCAAAACTGTAGCACTATTTTACAACTTTGGAGGTGTCAAACACATGCCACACAGTCACAATGATGCTGAAACTAAAAGATGGCAACTTATGGGTGGTTCGTCAATCAACAGTCCCCAAGGGTGAACTCCAGCCAGAAATAGCCGTAAACTCGAACTGGGCTTCGGTTGTTTGTATACAGCGATTACAACGATGAAACACAATTCCCGGGCACACCCTTCAAGGAGCCCTAGCAAGAGAGGACAAAGCGTTCGACAGCTGTTTTTAGATGATGGAAGATAGAAATAGTGGGTCTACGGAACTAACGTCAGTGTACAATGGTTTTGCGATGGGTTAAAATATAGCTGATTTTTTCTCAACCAGAACTAAGACTGATACTCACATGTGTGGCAGACAAAAGACCTATTATGATATCAGAAAGAAGGATTGAGATCATATTAACCAAGCTGAGTCCTCTACGGTGCTCAGAAGAGTATCTTTTTAGAGTACTAGGATGAATGACTTTCATCTTTCGTCTGGATTATTTGCAAACTCCCACAGTGAGCCCAGGTGTTTTGTTTTTCAGCCCCAGAACACCAATCTTATACTGATTGCGAACGATTCAGTAGTGGAAAACACGACGTAAAACTTGTGAGAAAGAAACAAAATATAACTGTTCACGTTTCTGGTAATTGATTGATATTTTGTAGTCTAAAATGTGAGTGCAGTAGATGCACGAGATATTGTCTCAGAGAAGCAACAAAGTCAATGGAAAAAACCCGGAACACAAACGACCAGTTGGCTAAGGATGCTATTACACAAAAGCCTCACACATACAATCAAACAATACTTTATAGATGATCGCACTTTCCCAAACAGGACGAAACAGTTGCCCTGTGCTATTTGTCGGTCATCACAAAGATTTCCATCGTATTTAAATGCATTTACCTGATGAGTAATTAACGATCCCCCAGGGAGTGGGACCCATATCAAAGATCATTAACAGGTCCTGGTGCCTGTGAAAAACCAAATGGGCCAATCCAAACATTCACCATCTTCCACCATCTCCTTCCTCAGTGATCGAACAAATGAGTAGCTAAAGGGGTGTGACCGACAATCGTCGCATGATGATGATGATGATCCAAGATGAATGGATATGAAAACTGAAACCGTGCTATCGGTCATCACCGACCACGGCTTCAAAAATGCTCAATTACGAGCTGGGCACTTCTGGGCTCTCCGTTTGGCCGCCCATCAGGTCGATCAATAAACTAAGTGGAAAAACGAAAGTCTTAGAGTGTGTGGTAATGGAAAACAAATTTGGAATATGCAAACATTAGAAAGGCACGTCACTTGAATGTGTAGGAGGACTATACACGGATCACATAACTATGGTAAAAAGACGAATATTTTACTAACATTGTGCGATGCGGTAACCTGGGACATTGCATCGTTTGAGCGAATGCGAAAGAAAGACTCAGGATTCGGCTATCACAACCGACAGACAGGCAGAGGGAGTAAGGGGGGGGGGCTGTTAAGAATCGACGATGGCATCGATCTTGGCTGATACGCGTATTATGGTCAGATACCGGACAGCCGAACACACGCATGCTACATCAAAAGGACGGATACGGAAAAAGCGATGTTTGACACACACACACACACACACACACGTCATTTTTGATCAACTTCTAGGTCTAAGAGTGCATATTTACATGGAATTCATTCAAATCGAAAAGGTGGCGTGAATGAGGGGTAAAAGCGGGAGACGCGGTGTGCTTTGATCAGACGGTCGCCGCTAGTTCCCATACTGATAGATCGCGTGATCGAAGTCAGCGTGAATGAGACACGAGAACAGGATGTTGGAAAAACAGACGAATGATGCCAGTCACAACACTGATCGTTATGTTGTAATACCGTTCGAAAATTCGGCATTGCTTAAAGCACAGTGCATCACACATGGGAAGCCTGTGTGGACATTACGTGCGTGCGAGCAGTGTTTGACAAAGACTGAGAGGGCGAGAAATATCAACTAATCGCAGCAGTCTTTGTGTTAGGCAAAAACAAATGTCATTTGGTGGAAGCATGCATGATAAGTATACCAGTGAGTCATCATGATCGATTCGCTGTTTATGGTATACCGCTGGTCTCTCTAATAAGGAAATGGCATTCTTATATGGAATACAAACGGCTTTGTGGAATCGGTTGTCGATGTTCAAATCGCTCACCGCAATACCAATACCAAGAACACGATGCTTGAAATTCAGTTCTCAGCTGAAGTCCCACAACTTAGCCGTGAAGAGAACCGCTGAGATACCTCAAGGTTAGATTTGAATACTATTCAGTTTACTTCTACTCAAACAGTTCATTTTTTCGTACTTTTCCAATAACAACTTCTTCGCCTAACAGTATAAAAATCGAAATGGGTTTTGCATAACTATAAATCCCCGAACCGCAAAGACACGCTATATCACCCAACTGAAGTTTGCACACGTTATCCACCGACAAACTTACACTAATACCACACAACTAGGGAATCAGTTGCCACGTGATAATGCCCTGAAGATAGGTGGGTAAATTTGAACCGTTTGCATGAGTTTTACCAATCTCAACAGAAGATTGAGGTGAAATAATCACATGATCGCTTCCGAGTGCTACCAAATGAGATCGATTTACCTCTTTGAATCGGACGTTGTGAATCGAGGCTAACCACAGACTGGGCACTGATCCAATGATCGTTGGAATCCCGAACAATACATTGGTACACACCGGTATTGTGCGAGTCCACTGAGAAAAATAGTTGTGAGTCTGAATCATGATGAACACCGGGAATGTAGAGGGGAGTAGGAAAAAGAGAAAAATTAATGAATAAATAACGTCTTGCTGGATGTTAAAAAGAACAATGGTTACTGAAACTGTGAAAAAAAGGATAGGAAAACGTTAAGACCTATCAAGACGGTTAGGAACTGATATGATGCATCATTCCGAATTGAAACGATCCACACCGAATAAAGAGTCGAATTTGCCCGAATTGGATTGGTTTAATTCTGGTTTGCTTGCTGGATATGTTTTGCAATACAAGAGGACAATGGTTCACCGCTGACAGTAAAACCATGGTGTGTACATTTGTGTACTACCCGATCCAATCATATCCTAATGCGCTCCAAAGTACCGGTGACATTGTTTCTTCATTTGTGGGGGGGGGGTTATCGGGAAGAACTACAACGGTAGATAGAAATGACCCAATAAGAAACAGAGCCTAACAAAATAATTCGTAAGTAGGTTTGGCACGGATTCAAGTGGTATGGTTTCATTTACGAGGAGTGCGAACACACACACACACACACGGGAATCGGCAGTTTACGGATGACAATCGAGGATATCATTATTTCTGAAAGTCACAGTATGGTTGAAGGTGGGCGTCATGAGTTGTAACCGGTTATTCTTTTCGCGAACCTCACCAAATGCTCCGTTAGGGAAGTTCTACTCAAGGCCTTTACATCGTGGAGGTGCTTTCCCACCAAAGACCGATATTGAGTGGCCATGACCAGGTTGATGAACACCACTGTCAGCTCAACTAGGTTAGTTAACTAAGAACCTTGATGCCCAACGAAACCAGAAGAGACGTACGAACTACAGCGGAGCTGAACAACTGGGAATCATTGCACAGCTATTTCGACCATGTCATGTATGAACCCCAATTCAGTATGTCAAACCTTAGAACTCACAGTGAGACACTCCTGGAAATACCGTGTCACCGATGTTTTCGCTCCTCAGTCAAATGGAACTTCAACGTGGTTGCATCGAAATTGACGGATTCTCGACCCTTGTGAGATTCAGCTACGATTCGGCTTCATACCCACTTTGGCCAGACTGAATACTTTGTTATTACCAGCACTCGTAAACGATTTGTCACGGCGGTTCAATTAGTCCCGCCGCCAAAGCTGGATAGAGTCAGAAGGCAGACAAATTTGTCCAGTAGTTTATGTTCTCATGCTTACAATACGAACCATCCGCTGCTTGACTGTTCGCGAGCCACAAACACTGATCAGTCGGGGTTGATGGATTCCAAAACTAGTGACGGTCGCCATGATCTTTTCCGATTACGCAATGCAATAAACCAACGTAGACCACACAAAAACACACGGATTAATTGCTCCGTTAAACCATGCTACGGTATTTTTGTCACAACGATAACCCAAATGTGTAGACATGCACAAAAACACTGTAATAGCCGAACTAAATTTGAGGGAGGGGGAGACATTTACATAACCCTTCGCATAATTCGATTGGTTTTCAGCTATGTGAAGAGAGTATGGTGCCATGCAGATGCACATCGGGGAAAATATTCAACGAGCCACCAACATCCTCCCGTGAAACAATGCGATGCAAGTACGGTTTGCTCATCAATCACAATTTTACATGTTCGCCAACGCTTGAACGGGACAGCTAAATGCCAGTGCGCATTGGGACACGCACACAGAATGTAAAATTTGTCAACGATTGATCAGCCAACAACGGAAATGCATGACCTACGGTAGCGGTTACGCCGACATAGAACACCACACATTAGGCGCTGGGCAAATAAACGGGCACACATGATGACAGTGCCGGGGGTCTGGCATCAGTGACAAATGAGGGGCTCAGGCAGATAGATCTACATACAGACAAAAAAGAACGGTGGAAGAAAGCGTGGATTATCACATACACACGCACACGATGTGAAGGGATTGGGTAAAGATTAGCGCGTACGTACGAATGCGCATTCGTATATTCGAATTAGTGAAGAAGAACAAATGTCATCAGCCAGGAATAATATTGTTCTCGCAAATACACGTGCATCCGATAGGTACACACAGAAAAAGTGAACTATAATACTACATGGAACGCAATCCCATGCGTGTCTTTGTCATTGGGTGCTGGCATAAATGATTGATATGATGGCCCCACATTTCCTTTGCACAAACACACACACACACACACACTCCCAGAGAGAGAGAAGCGAGATTGGAGTGTGTCGAACCCACAAGAGGAACGGAGGTTACAGAACGAAGGACCAGGGAGGAGTGCTTTCAATCGATGCTCTCTATGGCACAAACTACGCCAAAACATGGAAGGGTTCAACAATAATAGTTGGAAAAAACACATGATCATAGACGTGAAGATTAAACACATTACCCGCCGCCCAAGTATAGGTAGCAGAAAGTAAATGCAATAATGCCAAATGAATGTAACACACAGTATTCCCACTACAGTGAACCAAAGGCACAGACTCGAGTTCACTTCTCTGCCTCGAGAAAAATGATGACACCAATGTGCTTGTACTATGGGTTAGTTTGAGTGTTTGTGCACAGTCGCATTGGAGTATGCCCAGGTGTGGAGAGTAGAAACACGGATAATGGGCGAAAAAGAAGAATGTTGTCAAGACGATTTACGGGCAATTGAATACATTTTGGGCCGCAGCAAACGAAACAAATATCAACGTGGTTTATCACCAGTTCCGCTAACGTGAAGTCAACTACTTTAGGTCATAGAGCTATCTTAGAATGAGAAAGACAAGAAAGAGCCCCAGGGGTTTGGGCTTTAAACGGTTACTGGCGCACGAGAGATACGCTGCGGATAGTTCTCGATCTGGATCGGACAAGTGTGTATTGCTTTGAAGGCTTTCAATAGGATCCGTTGCAAGTTAAAAATTTATAACGCTCATCTGTCATTCAGAAAGTTCTACCATACCTATTGAATCGAGTCGCTGAGTTCGGTAACGAGAAGGTTTCAAACTTGATAAAGAGAACTTTACTCCGGGGGCGCGATTAAGAAGTTTGCGGAACGAAAAAACAAACAATGGCATGTATGGGGTACAAACACAGATAACGTAAGCACGGGGGGGGGATAAAATGCGGATTTCGGACTTACTAAAACCGACAGACAGTTGTGATTGTTTGATACGACCGTTGAAATACCAGATAGGAACTGACGGGCCAGAGCTGGAACAGTTCAATGTGACAGCAGACCCTCGTGGAACAGACACCAAAGGTGGGACTAGGGTGACATGCGGTCGACCTGGTCGGAGAGTTAATCACAGAGCGGAAAGACAAAAATTAAAAAAAGCAGGAACAGCGTGATAGATAGACAGACAGACAGGTAGACACACGGATCAAGAGAATGAGGACTCAGCAAGTGTGATCGTGTCTCGCTTTGGACGGACTAAACGACAGGGCGTCACCCATCATAAAAGTGATTCAAATATGCGCAATTTTTATCGGCGGATATAAAAATACACGTGAATAGACGAGAACGATAGATCGACCGATTTTCAGGAGTTCATGAGACCAACAATGTTATTGAACAAAAAAAAAGATTATCAATGTGTAGCAATGTTTGATCGAGAGCACTGACCATATCAGAAACCACGAATATAGGCGCAAAAAGAATTCAATGATCCGGAGAAAGAATAAAAGGCAGCACTCGTATGTGCGGCACGAAACAGATAGGATGTCAAAACTGTACACGATAGGAACAGCACCAAACAAACTGGGAGAAATTAGTTAAGGTTTATTTAGAACTACGTAGTCACATGAGTATTATGTAATATATAGTAATGTACGGTCGCCCAACTCAAAGTAGCATCATGGAAATCCTTCGACGGAGCAGTTTTACATGCAAACCGGGGGCGGGGGGGGGAGGAGGAGGAGGATAATGAATCAGGTCTATAACCCATGCCGGACTCCGGTACAGTCGACAAGTTCAGATAACCTCCGGTGCATTATAGAAGTGGAAGTACAGTGCCGTATGGTCCGGATGTGAACAAATAACGATAGTTTTTGACTCGCCAAAAAGTGGAAGATCAAAGAAAAATAGAAAACCTTTTCGATAATTATCCACTCTCGGAAAGGGAGGAAAATACAATCCCATGGGATCGAATGTTCAACTCGGTAAACGAAATAGAGTGCTGTGCATAAACACATGCATGGGATGGGATCGTAAAACGTGTACATGAACTCAGTGTATCATTCAGTCTTTACGCTGTCGAACAAAATTGATTCGGCAATGGATACGCAGCAACGCAAGCATTTTGCCCCGAGAACTTCTAAAACGTAGAATATCGCCATCTCACCGTCTCATCACTGCAGTCTCACCAACACACAGTAGGCATACCAAGCTCCGAACGCCTCATGATGGTCGGGGGTGGGTGTCTCGGGTTGTGGTCAACTCGGAAAATGATCTTTTTCTACCAAAGTGAGAGAACGAAGAGCCGACATTCGGGGAGTTGACGAAAACCTCTGATTCCACACCGACCAAGAAGAAGCGAACGAATTACACTTCTCCGTGGTTGATGTAGTGATAACCGGCTAACTCGGGCACCTTGGACATTTGACCCCGGCCAAAGGGTGTATGGTCCGATGAAACGGACACGCCTCCGACGGAGTGCTGTTTTTTTTTATTACACACCTAAGTATGATTAACAGCAGACGGGACGAACCCCATAGTCACGAGGACTAGCTGTTCAGTAGTGGAAACCGGTAACCTAAACCCCGGGACTTGGAGTGGCGAACCACATAGGGCCTCGGTAGGTTAGGCGTGGTATTGAACTGGGCGACAGCAGAGCTGCCTACAGTTTCCCGTTACCTTGTGGGTTAAGCTCTGGTCAGTTAAAGACCCGGTTGCGAATTCCCCTGACTTTCCAGGGCAGTATCCTGCCCACAAGCAAATCACGGAACATTTTTTTCTGTTATAAATATTATTGTACCGTGAACGGGCTCAAATCGCTCCACCCCGCTGCCCATCTTCCCTATTTCTATTTTCCCAGGCAGCCCTTGTATGACCGCGACCCCCTTTCTAAAAATTGAGTGTATCTTTGTATATTCAATAAATAAAGACATTTAATAATAACTTGGTACACAGTCTGCACTCCGATGTATGTAAAATATATACAAATATGTGTATATCAAATTAAAAAAAGATGACAACCCTAACCGACATCGATTCCATTGTTAAAAATTGTTTTTTTTTAGGGTGCAGTTCAAAAGCGAAAGATTAGATTGCCCAATTAGTGGAAAATGTAACCATGATAAAGGGATCAGTTTTCTCTACCAAGTCGCAGTAGTGATTCAGGCATTCAGATAGCCTAGATAGCAAATTGCGGTTGATTAGCCGGACACTGAATTCCACTAACAGTCAAGTGGTTCGAATGGTTGAGGATGTTGACAGTTGGTTAGGGTAATTCATTCAGAACGAGGTGACAAAGAATTAGTTGACAACACGCAATTATATGATGAGTTCGTCATGTAACTGAGGGGTGAGCTGAAAAGGTGGGACAACTTTTCAGCTCATTTACACGATGAATTCATCATATAAACAAATAAAATCCTCCATTACTTGCATAAAATACAATTATGCGTAGGAAATAAGTGTTATCAGTTTAAAAGGATAGAATGTGTCAACACCGTTTCGTTGCAAACGGTTAGATAAAAAAGCAAGTAAGTAGACCAAAATAGGCAGATAGACGCGGTCGTTGATCGAACGTTTACCTACTTGAAGCCGAACCGTCGAATAGACGATGGTGGGTACACACACACACACACCCGCCTTTTAAACACAAGTCAGCCTGAGAGACCAGGAACGCCAATAGGCACGTGACATGGAGTGAAAACGCAATCGTGCCGCCGTGTTGTTTGTGGTGTGTATCGTTCACACACTGCGGTTTGGATTGACTGACTGTCAGGTCAATAGAACCAGCTAAATAGCCAATCGACATCAGCACCATCATGGGGCTCATGCTGGAAGGAATGACTAACCCAGATTTTGGACTCGCAAAACACGAACGAAACACAGACATTGGGAGATTGAGAGAAGCTATTCGGGCAACGGTTGTGTGCGCAATCGAGGATGAAACCGGCGTAGCACTCAGACGGAAAAATTTGTGACGTTAAAAATTTGCGTGTGCTATTTTAGCACAGTCAGATGAGCACTGAAAAACTATAGGAAAAACCGACCTAGTTGGGATTGCATGTCACATTCTGTTCGCAAGTAAATGACAGAGAAGACAGTCCGTATGCATCCCGATACTGAGGCGGAGCAACAGAACACCAAGCATAGATGAGTACACGTAGATGTTTTCAAACACCACAGAAAGCATATGTGTTGAAAAGCGGTACAGAAAACAGAGAATCAGCAAGCCTGTGGGATTGACCGAAATCCCCGGATGATTCCTTCACGTAAGCCACGAATAGCACGTACGATCTATGTGCAACTCAACCCAATTCAAGCCAGGACACCTTTCTCTCTCTCTCTCTCGCACGCGCGCGTGCAAGCTTTTCCACAGTGGAGTCAGAACGACAAACGGGGATAATGAAAATCACATGGGCAGGTGAACAAATGAGCTGGACAAACGCAACAGTGCACAAGCCACTGCTCATATGCATGCCAACTAGAGGCGCCGAATGAACGAACCTCGAGGAGGGTGGGGAGCGGGCAAGGGGAACAAGTTGATCCATGAATTACAACAAAAATAATCTGAATAGTAATTGGTGATGGCCCTCAGAGCATCAAAGATCGCGGTGTCAAAAACGACTGCGTCTGCATGAACCCTACGCACACACACACACACACACACACACATACACACACGTCGGAATGACAAATAGGACTATGTAATTTCCACCGAACCGACATACAGTGCCAAAACTGTTTTTTTTTTTAACTGATGACAACAGATGAGATTAAACGAGCACCGTGATAAACGACAAGATGTGAAATCAGTCATACTGTGCTCCAATAATACCACGCAACAGATAATGGAATCCAAACGGTTGAATGGCGCACAGGAATGAGACCTTCAGTATCGAAAGTCGGAGAAACGTGAAACAGTAGGAAAGTTCACAGAGTGAGTTAGGTTGCATCAGTTTTGGATGCGAATTTATTCCCGATTGAGTAGTCACGAGGACACAGAATAACAATTCACCTGTTCCTGTGGAGCAAGTGGGTCGAACGATGAGACGTCTATTTGGCCACATGAAGGAGCATCACCACGTTTGGTTGAATCAGAGATTGACAAGAACCAGGGCGACGACAATTACGAACCAGTTGACCGAGTCTAATCACAGTCAATGTGCTTGAGGCTTTCCGTCCTCTCTATACGGTCAAGGGTAGGGTATCCAAAGAGATTAGGTTCCAAATTTTGTCAACAGCCGAGACGATTGCAATCTGTCCCCACGATCCCCCTCTTGTGCGTCCAGAAACAGCCTGTAAAAGCATTGGTCTTACCATGGCCATTCACTAACAATCCAGTGACTTAAACTCCGTTCATGAACTCTCACTCATTCATCTACCCATCCATTCATAACCACCCTGTCTTCCACTTTCCACGCATACACACAGACATGCACACGCACAAATATCAATTATCACAACTCCATCGTGTCTTTTTAAACTGTAATTTTCTTCACAGATATAGGTCTCCTCTCACCAACTGTTTAATCTATTACAAATTGTGCTGACTGAAGCTATAGTTGATGTAGCACCGAAAACGAACTTTTGCTGAGCCGGGGGATGAGTAGTTGTGCCGTGAGGATTGGCGCATCGATACGGTCGAAATTGTCGTTGAGAATAATGAACTACTACATTAGGCGATCAGGCTGACCGGAACCGAACCCCTTGGACAATTTTCGTTGTGCGCGGTAAGAATGGCCAACTTTTTGAATTTTTGGGAATTGACGAAATTCAATTTACCCAAGTTACTTTCCGAGGGAATTTCGCATAAACCCTCAAAGATCTCCTATCGTCAGAGAAACCAGTTAAGTGAAAAAGCACAGAGAGGCTCTTGACTCAACTTCCTAGGCGCTCGATTCTACATAGTGGAACGTTCACAGTGAATTCAACAATCGTGAATGAACCTGTTCTGTTCGGAACAAGCAGGTTACTTTGGTTTGCTCGTCTTTATTTCTTTTTACTTATCCAGCACAACTTAGATTTGTTCCTGAAGCCCAGCACAGCGCCCAGCAGGTGTGCTGTCAGGTCATGACTAACCGCGGAAGCTCCATGACCGCCGCATGGTGATCACG